TAAAGCTTTATCTCTCTTCTTACTCGTCATTTAAAATTTTTAGAACACATTTTATAATTACTGCGATGTGTGCGCAAAATAACATCCATGTTTTGGAAATTTTATTTATGGTTACAAGAACTAGAAAAATCAACTAATAGCTTCTTTGCACAAGTTGATGCTTTGGGAACATAATAATATGAAAAAATAATTTCATTTAGCAATAATTATCTCTTTAAGTGTAAAGAGCATTAATTAGTATAATTATGCTTGTAACTCAAAAAGTACAAGAGGTATTTGAAAACGGTTTTCATATTTGGAATCCTCACAATCATCCACATACACACACCAAATTTCATCACAAACAGTACATTAATAAAGAAATTAGTTTTACTTGCCACGTCCCCGCTTAAGTGCTCCATGCAGTCCGTCTCTCACGCAACGCGGAATCTTTATGTGGCCGAGCTGTATTACATCGGCACACCAGGCTGCCCACTGTGTCTTGATCTCCGCGGGCAATTCTTTGTCCCAGGAATGACCTAAAACCCAAAGGCGTTGAAACAAAAGCTTCGCAGTGATGGTGAATGGCGATAGAATGCCAAGCGGGTCATAAATTCGAGAAGCAACCATCAGTAGGGTATGTTTCGTGTCGAGCTCGCCAGCCACTAAATACTGGACCACCGACTTGGAAGAAAATTTGAAGTAATCATTTCCTATATCCCCTTGCATTCCCAAGATTGCAGCTGCTTCTCCGGATGCTCCTTCTACTTGCTCCTCCTGGTTGTCAAAAATGTTCTGCAGCTGATGGTCATAGGTCTTCCACTTTCTGAGCCTCATGCCAGCATCTTTCATAATTGCTTTCGACTGCTCGTAGATGCGCCGACCTTCATGGAATGTCTCCGCACCCACCAATAAATCGTCGACATAAAATGCCTTCTTTAATGTAGAAGCGAGCTCTTTGTCTTCACATGCATTATCTAAGTGGTAGTGAATAGTTGCCATGAGCAAGAAAGGGCTTGACATTGATCCAAACCGTACCCGCGTCATGTGCCATTCGACGAGCTTACGGTGTTGGCTTACGGAAATAGAGTCAAACCAAAAAAACCGGAATGCATCTCGGTCAGTCTTCTGTATCTCAATTTGTAAGAATGCCTTTTCGATGTCGGAATTGATGGCGACAGGGTACCACCGAAAGCGAAGAAGGACTTGCAGCAATTCTAGATTGAGATTCACTCCTTTATCCAAGCAGTCGTTAAGGGATGGTACACCTTGGGTGTGTGACGATGCGTCGAACACTACACGCAGTTTGGTAGTTAACGATTCCTCTCTTATTACTTCCCGATGTGGCATATAATATATGGTGTGATCTCGATCCTGAGGAATATCCTTAGGCACCGTTTCCGCATGACCCAACTCCTGATATTGCCGGATTACTCTGTCATATCGCTGCAACATTCCTTCCATCGTTGATAGCCTCCGTGTTAATCTTTGTAGACGAGATAGCGCGATTTCCCGGTTGTTCCTTAGAAGCTGTTTCTTATCTTCCTTCCAAGGCAATGCCACTGTGTATCTCTCGCTTTACTTGCTAATGGTTTCATGTAATCGTGCAACGGACCAATGGGAGGAAGGTGCCGTTGAATCTGCGATGCCCATTGCTTCTAGTTGCCAAAAGGATTGCAAGATCTGCGAGGTTGATTCGTCATCAACAATTGCTTGCACTTTCAGAATGCAGACCATTAGGCTAGAGCTGCAGTCAAGAAAGGCTTTTTGGTGACTGGGTCCTTGTAGCGTCCATCCAAAAGCTGTATCTATTGCTACCAGTCCTGGAACTTCTGCACTTTTGACGATGCGTCCTGACATGATTTGCCAGAGGTGGTCAGCACCGATCAACAAGCTGAAGCTATTTTCCGTTTCTGCATCAAACTTCTTTTTGTCCACAATGACCTCTCCTTCAAGATGCAGGCTCTGAACGAAATGGCTGTCAGCTTTCGTGGAGGCAATATCGTGGCAGATAACTGTAACAACGATTGCGCGCAACGTTCAGGTGTCAGAACCGTGTTGGCTATGCAGAGAAACTTCTAACACTTGCCGTTTTTCCACAGTACTTGGCGATGAACAGCCAAACGTATTCAGTGCAATTTTTGTTTCTCCCAGCACCTGTAGCTGTAATGTCTTGGCGAGATCTTCCGTGACGAAGGATCGCTGGCTCCCTCCATCGAGAATCCCTCAAACATACCTTGTTTTGCCGTTTTTGATGACAAAGGCGCGAAACGTTTGTAGATATACTTCACTGTGGGGATGTTGTGCCCCCGCTCAGTGAATCCTTGTCACACAGCATAACTGATTGTGACGACATCATTCCTACTGTGCTGCCGGAGGAGTCAACTGGACGAGAAGGTGTCGCTGTTTGGTTCGATGTATAGTGCGGGTCGCACATACTTGATGCGTGCCTCCCGCGGCAACTCGAGCAGGTGAGTTTTACGCGGCGTGCCTGATGTCCTCGGAACGTGCATCGATAGCAGCGGTTGTCTTTCACAAGCATTCCTTTCTTCGAATCGATGGCAAGGTTCGCGTCTAAAGCACGGGTGCCATGTTTCTTCGACTTGCAGAAAAAACACTCATCCCAGCTGTTTGATGTGCTGTGTAGTACGGAAGACGTGCTGGTGCTGCCGCTTCGAGTCCTCTGTGCACGGTCATCCAGCAGTCGGACATTAAAGGGTTTGCACTGCTCCCGACTTTCTAGCTCTATATGTGTATAGGTGAGCAGCTCCTTTAACTCCGCATCAGATGTAGCAGCTGCCACGCTTGGCTCAAAGACATTGGCAGCAGACCCGTTTTCTCTTAGTGCCTGACTGCGCTTTGCACGTGTGTAGGCCAAAATGATGTCGCACGGTAGGGCTTTCTGTAAAATGTCAATCAGCATAGCGGAAAAGCTAAGCGTAGAAACATTTAGTGCTGTTAGACAACAGATATTCAGCTGCACAGCATCGTAAAGTCGCCTAAGGCCGCGCACGTCGTTTCCCGACTTGATGTGAGGTAGATTGCGAAGCGCTGATAGTTGGCATTGCTCGATTCATTTTCGATCTCCGAAGCGTTCCTTCAATAACTCGATGGCGTCTGCATAACAGGCTTCGGAAGTCGGAAAACCACATATCGCAGCTGCCGCTTCACCCGCAAAATAATGACGTAGATAGAAGAACTTCGTCGTTGTTGACAAAGCGTTGTTCAGGTGGACAGTTTGCTCAAACTGCTCCCAGAAAGCCGACCATTCATGTATATCATCTCTGAATGTTGGCATGCTAAGGTTCGGCAGCCTTGGGTCAATTGCGGTCGGCACGTCAGAAGGTGATGGGTTTGCGTTCTGAGGAGCAGCCGCTGCTGTACTGTCTCCATGTCGCAAACCATCTATCTTGCAGCGAATCTCAGCGAGCATGCTTATAGCTTTGTCGTTATACTCTGCTGCCGCGACATACTCAGCTTTGAGCTCCTTGTCCGTTATGTGCTCCTCGAGCGCATGATTGATCTTCGAGAGCTCGTTGTTGTTCGCTGACAAACGGTCATAAATACCTGTGAGTTTAAGCTTGTCCGCGGTAGGGTAACTTAGCAGTGACATTGCTTCTTGCAGGATCTTGGTGTTCTGGGCTCGTCGAGCAGAGCGCTTGGTCTTGAGGCGATCCATCGGATCCGGTGTTGGAGTCTAGTCCGGTCTAAGCCGATCAGAAACGATTCGTTGCAGTCCTCGCCGCCTGCAAAACGACGCGGCCGAGTAGAAGGTCCCCTCGAGTCGTGCAATGAAGGAGACGTGTCCGCGCGAGGTGTTTCGGCACCACGATGTAAAGGAAAACTACCGATCGGCGAAGAAACCAGACCAACGCTGGTTCTTGCTTTTAACTTCTTCTTCTTCTCTCTGCAGTACTAGCCTGCACACGTTTATTCCTTTTCTTTTCCAACAGCGGTGTTTTCTAAAAGTGTGAGCCTTTTCTTGTGCGACATTCCTATTTGTCGCTTTCAAATTCATTCCTTCACCTTTACAGCAAAACTGAGACTTTTTAAAATCAAGTTTTTACGTATTAAAAATACAGTCGAACCTCGCTACAAGGAACGCCGCTTCAACGAAATTTCTGCTACATTTAAAAATTCACAGTTCTCCGTCAGCAGTCCATAGGAGTCAATGCCTAATTGTTGCCACAACGAACACATTTTTTTCTACTGTCCCGCTTCAACAAAATTTCACGATGGAATTCCAGGCTCAGATATTTATTGTTCTACAGTAAACCCAATCTAACATTTTGATGCATTTTCAGAACGTGAAAATATGTCGACAAAGTCTAAAATACGCATTGGCACCACCAGAAACCTCCGCTGTTCAGCAAGCATGGGTGCCACCATTGCTCAATAGTGATGGCAATGAGGCTGCCCTGCTTTTGCCACCGGCTTGCTTTTGGGCCGCAGATGTTCCAAAGCTGAAGCTCAGTCGCTCAGTTCATGGTTTCCTTCACGCAGCTGCCCCAGCTGCTTGGGGCAACCACGGAAGGATGCCTTTTTTGGTTCTAATGCTTGCTTATCATTTTATTCGCACTCAACGAAATCCACAAAATCAACAAAATCAGCTAGTCGCGAGTGATGGATGATAGGAATGGCATAGAATAAGGCAAAAGTCACCGCTCCAAGATACCCTGCCTCCATCTCGGCGTTGTCGGATACGCTTTGACGGTGGACAGCTGCTGGTGTTAACGTGTTAATGCAACTGCTTGGTATGTTCATGAAAGCGGTTGTAGGCATTGTTTCAGCGTGCTTTTCACCATGGCCTCGCTATTCATGACTAAGCGAAAACTTTTTAATTTTGAGAATAAATGTTTCTTTGTTTTGCTAGCTCATATTAGGTATATTTTTCTATTTCACTACAATGAAATTTTCACTTCAGTAAAATATTTTTCGTGCCCCATGAGTTTCGTTGTAGCAGGGTTCAACTGGTACACTACAGTGGGAGAACACTGCCATTCCCTCTCGTCACAATACAGGCTCCAAGCTACAGCCAGACTTCTTCATTCCGGATGACGTCCTCGCCGAGTTTGACCAGCAGCAGGTGTCGTCGCTGGGCATTGGCGGTACCAGCGCAGCAGCCTCACCACCGTCTTCCACATCTAATAGTCCTGCTGCCAGTGACGGAGTCGATGGAATCGTGCAGAAGATCAACCAGAAGTTGAGCCCCGAGCTGGTTGCCTCTACTAAAGGGCTGTTTTTGTTCCAAGTTAAAGGTTAGTATGCAGCTTTTCCTCTGAGAAGGCTGTAAAATTAGTGTTATAACAGAAGGGCTTTTTTGACAGGGTTATAGAAATTTTGCATTGTTCAAGTCGAAGTCGTGGCTACATAATATGGCACAACCATTCTAATAGCGCGCTTTTTTATTACTTATTCTGTTGTTCACATCACCACAGCCGGTATGCCGCGTAAATTTATGGTAGGGTAGGATGGCTTCTTGATGCCTGGTATTCACTATAAATATATATTTGTACAGGGCTGGCAAGAAATATTTTCAGTTGCTTTTGCATGACTTATGCTATTGCTCATTCTATGAATGTTCGACTAGCAACTTCTTTATCCCACCACCACATCTGACATTACGCTGGCGATAAAAAGCTCTTTAGCAAGTTTGATATTGAAACTGGCTATTTGTGATGTGCAAGCCAGGTGGTGCAGATTGCATCTCCAAGGTATTTGACTGTATGTGCACGGCTGTAGAAAGTGAACCGATTTAAGTGGACAAGCAACTATAGCAGTGTTTCATGAAAGGCGTGCAGGGCGAGATTCCGATAATGCGACACTTTTGTGAGCATGCCGACGAGAGCATTGAAGAAATGCTTGTATCAAAACAACAGACCAGAACTCTACAGATGTGTCTTCACAAGCAATCGAAACATACGATCCTAGTGCTAGTGCTTTTTAAAATTTTTTTTACTTGGGTGTTTTTTATTTCAGTGCTCCCTGGACTTAACAGATAATGATAGATGAGTTTGTGACTGTAGTTTGAAAAAGAGGGCACATTTTTGCTTCGCTCTGTGGGTTCCTCATGATCCACTGCAGCAGGGATCAAATGGCAGAGCATCCACCTTCAGTGTGGGAGGTACTGGATTTGATTCCTCTTGTCACCGCACCCTCCAGTCTTTCGGAAGTTGTGAGAGGTAACAGACTAGCCTCATGACAGCCTATGGGTATCTTAGAAAAAGGTGGCCTTTCCTTTTTTGCCCTTTTTTTTCATTCACTCAGTTTTCTTTGCTCACAATGTTGCCGCTTTCCTCTTCGTGGGTTGCAGGAATCGGCAACCTTCCTAACCTCAACTGTCTAAACATGTTGCAAGCTATTACAGTAAAAGCTCGTTTATCTAGACCTCGTTAACTTGGAAATTCGTTTAACTCGGACTCGCGGTGCGGTCCCGGCAAAACTGTGTACATTTCAATGAGGTCAAATACTCATTAGTTCGGAGGGATTTAGCCGCGCACCGGTTATCTCCGACAACTCCTGAGAGGGCTATCGGGACTCCAGAGTCGCGCGATCTCGGTGACTTGGAGGCTCAAGCACCGCTTGCCGTAACCTACGGCAGAACCGGAGTTTTGGAGAAACCGAAACCGAGCGAACTGCAGCAGAATACGACCATAATGATAGTGAATGAGGGGGAAGTGGCTAGGTGGCACTAGTCACCACCCGGCGGAAGGGCTTGGGTCACCTGCGCATCCAGTGTCTACTAACATCTGCTTGCTACGCACATGCTACGCCTACTGGTGTACATTGTGTCTTGGTTCATTGTGTTGTGACTCCGCGTGTTACAGCTGTGTTTGTGCGCGTTGCCGCTGCCGTTGCGCTTCATGGCGGCCGTCACCGGAGTTCAGCGGCCACAGCAGCCAGCAAATGATCTTGAAAGAAAGGTTATGATATTGAAAGACGTGGACGCAGGTGTTTCTTGACAGGCGATAATGAAAAAGTACGATGTTAAGAGAAGCACCTTAAGCGACTACATGAAGAACAACGAAAAAATTTGAGGCGTTTGACAGCGGCAAATTCACCGGAAAACGAAAACGACTGAGTGCGGCAGCACACCCGAAGCGGGAGACGCACTGCTGTGGATAACAGACATGCGGAACAACCAGCTTCCCTTGAGTGGACCGTTGATCTGTCAGCAAGCTGATAGGTACACACTGAGAATGAACATCGAATCTTTCAGTGCGTCTGAAGGCTGGTTTGCCCGCTTTAGAGAAAGGCAGGGGTTGGTCTTTCGAAACGTGTGCGGAGAAAAAGCAGCAGTGGAAGAAGGCGTATTGCTGACTGGAAGACAACTGAGCTTCCCCAGTACCTGGCTCGTTATGAGCCTGCCAACGTCTGCAATGCCGATGAAACGGCTCTCTTTTTTAAAGCCTTGCCGGACAAAACGATCACGTTCAAGGGCGACCCGTGCGTTGGAGGGAAGAGGAGCAAAAAAAGGTTCACTGTGCTTGTCGCTTCAAATATGTTGGGCACCGAGCGCCTGCCACTGCTAGTCATCGGGAAGGCACGTAACCCAAGGTGTTTTAAAAACATTCACCACTTTCCTGTGCAATATCCCGCCAACAAAAAGGCCTGGATGACTTCGGATATTTTCCAAGCTTGGCTGCACCAACTCGACCGCCGCTTCTCCGCTAACAAGCATAAGGTTTTACTTCTAGTTGACAACTGCAGTGCTCATACCAGAGTGTCAGGGCTAGAGTGCATCGAACTTGTATTTCTACCTGCAAACAAGACGGCTGCTCCGCAACCGCTGGATGAAGGGATAATTCAGTACGTAAAAAGCAGGTACAGAAAGCAGGTGCTGGAACGGATCCTGCTGTGCAAGGAAGCAGGGCGAGAATGCGACGTGACTCTCCTGACAGCAATTCACATTTTGGCTCATGTCTGGAGTGAAACGCCGCCCGCGGTCATTGCAAATTCTTTCCGGCACAGCGGCTTTGTCCGCCCTGATGACTCGGATATTCCTCCAGAGGACACCCGCGAGCCCACTGAAAATATGGACGACGAGGTGAATGACACGCATTTTGACTCTCTTCTTCCTAGTGGCGTCCAGATTTTAGACTACGTCGCTACAGACTATCATGTTGCCGCTGCTGGTCCGCTGACTGACGATGATATATTATCGGAAGTGCTTGAGGAGGACCAAAATCACTGTTCTGATGATGACGGCCTGGATGAGTCGACGCGACGTCAATGCACCATGCAGGAGGCCGCTGAAGCCCTCGCTGTGGTCGAGGAGTTCTGCGTTTGTTCTCGCGACAGTGAACGACCACCTGATGGGATTAAAAAGGATCATTTTGTCAGAAATTCCAACGGGGAAGCAAGCAAAAATAACGCACTTTTTTAAAAATAAAGGTTTGTCTGTGCTGTGTACGTTTTACTTTTGTTTTCATGGTCCATTCGTAATTCCGAATCCGGTTAACTCGGACATTTCCTCCGGTCCCGTGAGATCCGAGTTAACGACTTTTTACTGTATATGCATCTCGGGTTGTGATGAGGGATCGTAGTTAGTGCTCTACAAGTTTACAATGGTGGCTGATTGGGTGACATTGTAAGGTCCAACCTTGTCTTCTTTGCAGTGGCATTCTCCCTCTTATCTTTCTGTTAACCTCTTCTTGTGCCTTTTCACTCAGTTTGTTTAATGAACGTGTCATCAACATGATGCTTTACAAGGGCCGCTTCTCAAACGTTTTGACCGGCTGATGAAACTGTCTTCTCTCATCTCCACAGGTGGTGATGACTTCTTCGTAGACCTCCGAACGGAAGGGGGTAGCGTTGGCAAAGGCCAGCCGTCGGAAGGCAACTCGCCTGACGTCGTATTTACCATGGACGCCGACAGCCTGCTCAAGATGTTTGCAGGCAGTCTGAAGCCAACGGCAGCCTTTATGAGCGGCAAGATGAAGATCAAGGGCGACATGGGGAAGGCCATGAAACTCGAAAAGCTTATGGGCAGCTTCCGAGCCAAACTCTAGAAACCAACCGAGCCTTATGCTTTTTGTTTGGCAACTACTTCGGCATGTTTCACCGACTCCGGTCTGTGCAGCCAAGCAGAAGGAAGATCACAAAGGCTAGACACCAACAGCGCCACCCGCTTCATGAACGTCGCTGGTCAACCAGATTTTTCAGCTTACCTCGACGCAGAGACTGTGTCAACATTTGCTGGATCAAATGTAGTGCGTGATCTCGCATTTCGTTCAACTCCAGCGCGTTTGGTGCTTCCAGCGACCTCGAGAGGCATCGGCAAGACAACATAATTATGTGCAGTGGCTCGAGTCGTATCTTGAACTTCCTAGTGTGGAAGCTTTTTGATCAATTCATTTTATGATCGGGTCCACCTCATCGGGAACATAGCAATGTGGAAGTTTGTTAGTGTAACAAAGGGTGTGGTGAAGACAGCGTCTTATGAATAAGGTTAATTTTGCTTTTTCTCGGTTTCGGTTCTTCAGATGTCTAGAGTGTCACTGATGGTTATATCTTATCGCTTGATGAGATGTGATTTTAATGGAAATGTGGCATTCATTCGCATGATGGAGCAACTGTCTGGAATAGGAACAAGTGTTACTTTATACATTTTGAAATGTTTACCTTGCTCACTAGGATGGACATTATATCTGCACTAATGGCATTGATTGCATTAATTCTTGATGTTAATCAAGAAATATTTTTATACTGGAAAATGAATGCTGTCAGTTTTTTAGTTGTGTTGTTGCAACACTCTTCATAGCATCTAGACTATCTTTTTTTTGTTACCAGGGCCTAATATTTTGCTTTATGTAAAAATATTATGCGGCTTTTACATATGAAGCTGTATGCTTGTATGCATAGAAAAAATGTGAGTAGTTTTGTTTTCAAAGCTGAATCTGTTACTGTATATAACACACTCGTGTGCCTTAAGAGAACTGTTATGCCTTATAGAACCATTCTGCTGTGCAATATGAATAGCTAAAGTATTTCGTATAACCTCTAACTGATGTTGGTTGTTTGCAAGGTGTAATGAACTGGAGTGTCTTACAGTGATAGCATGTGTTGTCAAACTGCTGTGCAGTGGAAAATTAAAGCTTGAAATCTTTTAAGTGGTGGCTACACTGGTGGAGAGATGCCGCAAGCAAATGCTCACATTATTACGCATCTGTGGTGGTACGTACGGCTGCACCGGTCCTAGGCTAGTCCACAACGATGGTGAAACAATACTTGCAGTTAATGTGGAGTCTCCATTTTAAAAAGACTGAAAAACACTTTTCTAAATAGTCCTCAAGTGGCTTCACTAAAAGAGCATGTCGTCTCACGTATTGGCTGCCCTGAAAATTTTTTAGAGTCCATCAAGTACTAATGGAGTTACAGAAACTTGTTGCATTCTTCAAGCGCTCTCCTTCTTGTCTTCGTACTAATGAGCTCTCTGAAAGCTTGCAAGAAATATGTGTCCCTTCATGGCTTACTTTAAGTTTGATCGCGGCCAGGCACGTAGCGCCATCCCGTGGCGGCCACGGTCACTATGCAGCTATCAGTGCTCAATTGAGCCAATGGCTATAAACTTTGAGTTATGTGGCGTCATGTATTCCGAAAGGAGGGAGTGGTTTGCGAATGGGAGAATCAATTTTTCGTTCCAGGCCTTATGCTGCACTGATGTTTGGCTCGCATACTCTCGGAGGCGTTGACTACAAATTGGCAGCATTTTCTGACCATGCTCAGAAAGTGTTGCATGGCCCCTTATATTAGCGAAGATTACAGGCAGAGTTTGAAAGGGGGCAGTAGTATCTTTCGTAGGCCAATAGGCTGTGAGATTGCCACGCCGTCTAGCCTTTCTTGGCAAGCAACAACTACGGTTCCGAAAACTGTATTTTTTACGCGAAGTAAAATTGTTGCCTCTTCATCGGCCTCTACAATGTGTACCACTAATCATGCTCTGTGCGCATTTACTTACTCGGCACAAAACGAGAAGCAGCAGAATAATATGGAAGTGATGGCCATTTACAATTGAGAATAATAAAGTCCATTAAGTGTGCTTATAATTTAAGTGCACTTTTGGGCTTGGTGCGGGCTAAGTGGATCGGCTCGGTATGGGATGTTTGTGCATCCAAAGGGCTTTTTTTTTTTGTGCGCAAGGTACAGTCTGCTTGGTTCTTGCATTTGTTGCATGCGTGCACGTTCAGGTGAAGGTTACCTAATCTTTGCCTCATTAACAATTCTTCTACTGAACTCTGTTCTAAATCACAAGCCAACTGACTCGAGATTGTCTTGAAGTCCTATGCCATGGCATTTGTGCAGCTTCGGGACAGAATATATGTATTTCGATATGGTGTGGTCAATGTTGGTTCTTTGTGCTCGGCATGTCAAGCTGACATTGTGTTGAAACAATGCTCACATGCCCTGAGCGTAAGCGAATGAGCTATCGCTGAATGAAGCAATGAATGGTGAAGCCATTTCATTATTTTTTGGTAAAATTTTTGAAGATGCCTGCAAAAGATTGCTTTCTTTGCACTAAACTCAATTTTACTCAAGAGCTAGTGTTATCAGCATGCTTTGCTTTGAACATGGGAATATCCTGCATTACAGCAGACTTTCATTGCATCCACTTTGTTAGATTCTATGTATAATGGACAGATGTGTATGCTCCTTCAACATTGTACACTAGAGAAGGTAGCCTGCACAACAGGTAGTATCATGAGACTCCATCCAATTGTTGGAGGGCGAATTTCGTTAGCATCTAAAAGTGCCTGTGCTGACATCAGCTATGTTCTTGTACATGTGCTGTTGAACCAAGATACTATGTGGGTCTTACTGCTCAAGCTGACTCCAGGAACAAAAAATTTTCATGAAGCAGAGATTTTGGGCAGCGTAAGGAGTGCAAAGATTTGTTTCTAGTTCTCTTTACCTTTGAGTATGTAAAAGGTACTAACAATCCTTCTGATGTATAGTAATGGTTTAATAAATCTTGGCTGTACAAATGTACCATCTGTTTGCTTCCTCACATGAGCCTTATACAATAAGTAATAGGAAGAGATGAATGATATGCTGGAGAGGTAATTAAAGTTAATTTATTGGAAGAACACTGAGAAAATTTCGAAGGTAATATAGCTTGTGGAATATACTTGTGTGGACACGCACATCATAACGAAACATCAATGGAAAGTGTAGCCTGAAACACATTTGTAATCAGTTTTAAAGGAATACTAGAGGCAAAGATTAAGTCAAGGTTGATTGTTGAAATAGTCCAGAAACCTCGTAGTGCTACTTTTGTGTAAGGAATTGCTTAAATTGAAAAAGACGTTGATCGCGAAGTGGTTGATATCTGCTCCATCAGGTGCCACCACCGTGCCAGTTGACCTCCCGAGAATTCCACAGCTGATCAGATAAGGTGAGGTCGCGCTATCAGAGGATTTCGTATTGTGAATGGGTGGTTGAAAACGCGTTTGACTGAGTTGCAGGTGTCTCCAGTGATTCGTATATTTAAGGTGTTTAATAAATTACACAGTTTACACAAGGGGCGGATCCAGCGACTCATTTTAGAGGGGAGCGGTTGCCTAGAGTAACACAGAATAGGGGGGCGTGGTCATGACTATTGTTTTTACTAGCAGAAAAACCCTTTCGCAGCATAAATACTGCAAATGTGTGCTTGCAGTGGTTTCACTCATTTGTCCTAATTCGTGATAGGAGATGGACTGCAGCTATAAATTGAGAGAGGGGGGTGCTGACAGAGAGTTTGGGGGAGGGCGATCACCCCTACCCCCCTCCCCTCTGGACCACCACTGATTTAGAGAGAGCTTAAATCGTTTTTTAAATGATTCCTAGGACTTGGTCTACTGGCACAATGTGTTTGTAACAAAAATAATCACAGCATATCCACGGAGTGAATGATGATGAGTGGGGCAAAGCGTCCGTCCGTGCTTCCATCCGTCCGTTCGTTCTTGCTGCTGTTTGTGCATACGTTTGTGTGTTCGTCCATGCATCCGTCCGTCTGTGTGTACATTCGTTTGCCATGCGTTCTTTCGTACGTCTGTCCGTCCATGCATCCATCAATCTGTCCGTCCGCTTGTCCGTCCGTGCATTTGTTCATCCGTCCATCTAGTGCACACTCCAAGTACCACCACCTCGCATCTTTTCGTCATCATCATCAACATCAGCCTGACTACGTCCACTGCAGGACAAAGGCCTCTCCCATGTTCCGCCAGTCATCCTAATGCTACATGCATGCCAATTGAGATTCTAGGGGTCTACAAGGAAGACGAGGAAGACGAAGAGTGGTCTCCGAGGAAGATTCTACAAGGAAGACGAAGAGTGGTCTCCGCTTGGTGACAAACAGACAGGTTTGACACGCAGGACTGACGTTTGCCTGCTCTGAGGATTTGGCCAAGAGTTTAGTAGTTGTGATTGATTTTGTATATATATATTTTTTTCATAAATGTTTCTATAGTGTCCTAATTGATTAGCAAGTGTATTTTCAGATAGTACGACCAGGCAGATGCCGTTTTCCTCACCTGGACCAGAGGCTTTCTTCTGGTCTGTTTCTCTTCCTTCGCAGGAATTGCCAGTGGACTTGTTTTTACAGCAACGGCATCTCATCCGTTCCTGTGGCATTGGTCCCAAGCAACGATGGTATTATACGGATGAAGAATTCAAAAATGATTCAGATGGAGTTGAGAGCCACTACAACTCTCTACTAAAGCATCACAGAGGTCAGGCAGTTCAGCAAGGGTGGCATTCTTTGCTTCTTGTCTGACCAGCTCTGTTTTCGAGACCTACTAAAATGCTCGGTATTCGCTACCAACCCGGTGAGCGCATTCATTCCACCTCACCCAGCTTGTGTCAAAGGCCTCGTTCGGGGTGTCGATGTCAACTTGACCCCAACTGAGGTATTAGATATGTTTTCAGAAGCAGGTGTGATAGCTATCTATAGATGTAGTCGAGTTGTGGACAAGAACAAGGTCCCAACGGAGCCCGTGATTGCTACATTTGCCGGGTCGAATCGCCCAACTGAAATCAAAGCGTGGCCTTTAATATACAGAGTAGAGCCGCTATCACCTCGTCCCCTACAGTGTATTAAGTGTTGGTGTTATGGGAACAGAGTGAAGGGATGCAGGTCAGTACCTAGATGCAGAATTTGTGTTAAGACGCACAACTAAAACGACTGTATAAGTAATGAAGAAAAGTGCTGTCTTTGCCATGAAGCACACTGTGCTGATGACCCAAACTGCTCAGCCAAGGCACGTGAAATCTAAATCCTTGAAATTGTAGACAGAAGGCAATGCTCCCGAAAGGATGCCATTGCTGAAATCCAGGCCCGAACTCAAGGGTACGCAGGAGCAGCTGCCCGCCATAACATAGCAATGGAGCATCCTTTTCTCTATCAGTTGCAGACATGATCGAGAAGGCTGTGGATAAGGCTATGCAACGCCTTGCTACCACCCTATGGGAGTCACTGTCGCACGTTATAAACAACCAAATCGCACAAGTCTATGGAGCACAGATAGATATAAGTACGGCTGTAGAAAATGCTGAGTCTGCACACCCGACAAATGAGGCAGAATCTGGATAACTCCACCGGATGCACAGTCTGCAGAGCCCTCTGGAGAAGGCGTTCAGAGGCAAAGCGAGGGTGCACAGGAAGCTTCTCAGGACACACAAGATATGGACATAGATCTCAAATGCCTAAAGCGTTCTAGATCCCCTGTATCGAAAAAACTTGGCTCGCCGAAACATGTAAAAAGCAAGAAATACCAGGAAGACAATTTTTCAAAAACGGATTTTCTAAAAGAAAGTATTTTAGATAAGGTAGTTGCCGAAACCATTTTAACGAAATCATAGGGTTTCTTAAAATTATACATTGGAAGGGCCGATCTCATCACTCAGCCATAACAGATCTGTTATACCTGTCTTCCAAATTCGATCCGGCTATTATTGCATTACAAGAAACTTGGCTTTCCACACATCACTTATTTCACCTACACAACTTCCAAACCTTTCGTCTAGACCGTCCATCCAAAGGTGGAGGTTTAGCTTTCTTTATAAACAATAAAATTAAAAGTCAAAAACTCATACAAATGTATGTCTTCTGAATGTGAAATTTTTGCGTTAGATATTACCTTGCCAGGATACTTGCCTTTCTCGCTAATAAACGTCGACTTTCCTGTAGGCGTTCAAGACTCGAGATTGTTAGATATGGCTGCTAATTCAGGCTGTAAAGAAAAAATTATAGTTGGCGACTTCAACTCTCACCATACATGCTAAGGTTTTAGAACAGATCAGTGTGGACAACGGTTGTGGGACTGGTTGGTAGACAACAACTTATTGTGCCTTAGCGCTAGAACTCCCACATTTATTCGAGGTCATTCATGCTCCGCCTTAGATTTAAGCTTTGTAAGCTCGGCCATTGCTAGTACATCATGGACAGCCCTTGATTGCGCCTCCAACAGTGACCACTTTCCAATAATGTTCGAGATTGCTTGCCCCATCAAACCATCATGCTTTCATGCCCGGACCTATATAAATTATGCAAAATTTCAACACGACCTAAAAACTGCTTCAGACGCTCCCTCTCAGTATGGAAATGACACTAAAGCTATGAAATTAAGTGCAGTAATTAAAAGGTTATACAAAAACGCTGAATTTGCTGTTAAATCGGCGGAGAGAGTACCCTATAGCCCCTGGTGGAATTCCAACTGTTCACGAAATCCCAGACGACGACAGGCAGCTTGGAAGAAGCTAATACATAATCAGTCCCCTAAGAACTGGTCAGATTATAAATTTCTTGCCGCTGTATTTAAACACACGGTGGCCCAAGCTAAAGAAGAATATGATAAAAGACATTTCGATTTTCTTTTGAAACCTAAAAATAAGAAAGCTTTATTTCAATATATGCGATCTCGCAAAATCCTACCGTCTACAGTAAATACTGATTATGAAAAACTGTCATTCGAAGAAACGAAGAACTCTTTAGAGTTTATTGGCAGAGGTCTAGAAATTATATTTTCTTCGACTATGGCTTTCAACTGGCAAAAGTCTAGCATAAGCACCGACTTCAAAAACGTAACGCTGTCTGAAGCATCAAAAGTAATTCGAGATCTACCCTCGTCAGCTCCTGGTCCAGATGGAATCACAGTTCCTATGATTAAAATTTTATTCAAGCTATCCCCCGACGACGTCCTCAATTTTATAAACTACTCTTTAAAGAATGCCTGGATACCGTATGACTAGAAATAGCTAAGGTAATCCAATTAATAAAAAAGCAAGGATTAGGTTTTATCATAGAAAATATCAGACCCATCTCGCTAACTTCGAACATGGTGAAACTCATAGAGAGGGTCCTAAATGGCCGAATAAACTCCTGGATGACGAATAAGCTCATATTAAAGCCAAACCAAATTGGTTTTCGCAGTGAATTCTCAATTTGGAGCGCCCATGCGGATTAGAGAGTCGAATACAGCTTGCTCGTAAAAGGAAACAGTACGCCGCATTAGTAACTCTCGACATAGCTAAAGCGTACGACAGTGTCGAGCACTCTATTCTATTGACCGCCTTGCAGAGAAGTTTCCTCAGTATATTACTGAGTGGATAGCAGAATTCTCAAAATCAAGGGAATTGTATTGCGTGAAGGATGGCTGTTGTTTGCATAAATTCAACAGTAACGTGGTGTTCCCCAAGGTCCGTCCTATCTCCAGCATTATTCAATATACTCATAAGCTCTATTTCGATTGTTCAGGATGTCAGTGTCTACATTTATGCAGATGATATCTCGTTTTTCGCTGCAGAGAGCGACATTTACTCACTACGTCAAAAATTGCAAAGATATAATAATACTCTAGAAATTTGGTTGCAATCCATTTCATTGTCATTGAACATCAGTAAAAGTGCGCTCTTGGTGTTTCCTATAGCAGATACAGTTTTCAATTTCTGTATTGTATAATCGGGAATCTATTCCCAAGTAGATTCGTCAAGTACTTAGGAATGATTAT